TGCTGGGGTCTTGGTTTTGTTAAGGTTCTTTGGCTTGCGTTTCCTCGTCTGAATCCCCTCTTTTCTCATCGCTAAAGGCCTGGGGACCTAGGAATCCAAGGCAAAGCACTCTGTTTTCAGGGTGCACACAATACAGCCCAGCGTCCTGGTCTTACATCTCTGCCTCCTAGATCGGAGGGAACCAGCCATTTTTGCTGGGGTCTTGGTTTTGTTAAGGTTCTTTGGCTTGCGTTTCCTCGTCTGAATCCCCTCTTTTCTCATCGCTAAAGGCCTGGGGACCTAGGAATCCAAGGCAAAGCACTCTGTTTTCAGGGTGCACACAATACAGCCCAGCGTCCTGGTCTTACATCTCTGCCTCCTAGATCGGAGGGAACCAGCCATTTTAACTCACTGGATTCCCTCTAGAGACCAGCTCCGGCTGCCGAGTTTGGTTCCAGACCTGGCGCTGATATGTTTTGGAAATAACAGTGCCCTTGGCACCCGAGACTTGGAGCCGCACGTTTTAATGCCAGACGGGTTTCTCGGATCTGCCAGTCAGACCTGCTGTGTAACTCGGCCCAGGGAATGTTATCACGGTAACGGGGTGGTGCCTGCCCAGCAGAGCCAATGTGGACACAGCAGTGCCTCGTCCAGATGCAGCGGATGCCGGCCGGTGTTTTTCCACCAGTGTGGGAGCAGCGCATCCCTGACTGAAGCTAAGCGTGGAGGACAGGACTTTTCTCTAATGGGGGGAGTGTTGTTAGCATAGCTATGTTGCTAGAGGGGGGAAGGAAAGGGGTGAATTCACACCCTGACCAACCCAGCTATCAGTTTTAAGTGCAAAGCAGGCCTACAGCACACCTTCTGGAAAGGCATCCAGTCTAGGGATGTGGATAGGTAACTGGTACGCAGGAACAACCCCGTGGGGATTAGGAACTGGATTAGCACCGAGGGAGGGGGTGGGAGAAGAAGTCACCCCGCCCCTCCACACGGGGGACTGCCCTGCATGGGGGTGGGGGAAGGGGCTGGCGGCAGCAGCCCTGTGCAAGGGGGGAGGGTGAGCGGGATCCCGATTAATCGGTTAACCAGTTTAACCTAAGGTTTAATCCGATCTTCCTGTGAAGACTTTTCAAGAGATGGAGAATCCACCACGTCCCTTGCTAGGTTGTGCCATCGGTTAGCCACTAACGCTGTTAAAATTTAGATGAATCAACAAATCGAATAGTCGATGCAATCTAGATCGACTATTCGATTTGTCGATACAGGCACCTCCGCCTCTGACATATAACAAGAGCCCTGATGGCTTTCGCTACATTTCAAAGGAGAGAGCAACGACAATTCCCCTCTGTGACCCCCCCCCCCGAAGACGGTGCCGGGGGCACCG